GTCTCGAACCTGCGGGCTCAGGCAATTCACTCACCTCAGCTTCCCAAAGCGCGGGATTACAGGCTGAGCCACCAAGCCCGGCCAGCTTGTAACTGTTTTAACTACCACTTTTATTTTTCTTTGAACAGGTGGTGCTAGAAAAGCCAAATGACTTTAGCCAGAGTTCTCCAACCTTGTACAGCAGCCCACCTGAGGTAGGTATTGGGCAGTGTAGTAACTGCTTAACCAGAGGCAGAATCAGCTTCTCCTCATCCGTTTGTTTATTGCACTCATGCATAGTCTCTCTCTCATTAAATACAAGAACAATAGTTATTTGATGTAAAAATTCAAACACTAGAGAAGTGTAAAAAGGGAAACTCCCTTTCCCAACCTCACTCCTTGGAAGTATCTATTGTTAGCAAATTGAAGGGGCCACAGAGCAGTGCATCTCAGCCTTGGCTGCCCTTGGACGGGGTTTGGAAGTCTTAAGAGGATGATGCCTGGGTCCCATCTCCAGAGGTTGTCATTTAATTATAATGAGATGTGGCCTGGGCATCAAGACTATCAAAAGCTCTTCAGGTGATTCTAATGTTTAGCCAAAGTTGAGTACCAATATTCTAGTGTTTTTCTATACACAACCACATTTGAATACCCATATATATGTTATTAAATGCACCCACACTATATATACATGTATACATTTATGTATATAATATACACATACTTTTCACAAATATAAGAGCATGATAAATGCTTTATTCCTTGTTTGCTTTATTTTCTTAAACTGAAGAGTATATCACAGCCTTCTTTCTATGTTAGTAGATATAGCTCTACCTCATTCTTTTGAATAACTGCATGGCTGCACGTGGGTTTTTTTTTTTTTGGTCAGGATCTTACTCTCTTGCCCAAGCTGGAGCGCAGTGGCATGATCATGACAATTACGCCTCACAGCAGCCTTGACCTCCAGGGTTCAGGAGATCTTTCTACCTCAGCATCCTGGGAGCTGGGACTATAGGCCCATGCCACCATGCCCAGCTATTGAAAAATTTTTTTTGTAGAGATGAAGTTTCGCTGTGTTGCTCAGGCTGATATCGAACTCCTGGGCTCAAGTAATCTACCCTTCTTGGCCTCCCCAAAGTGCTTGGATTACAGGCATGAGCCACTGCACTCGACCCGTGGCTGTACTTTAAAAAAATATTTGTTGGCTGGGCTCGGTGGCTCAGCCTGTATTCCCAGCACTTTGGGAGGCCAAGGCGAGTGAATTGCCTGAGCCCGCCAGTTCAAGACCAGCCCAGACAATTTGGCGGGACCTCGTCTCTACAATAAATAAATTAAAAAAAAAAATTAACTAGGCGTGGTAGCACGTGCCTATAGTTCCGGCTACTTGGAAGGCTGAGGCGGAAGGATCACCAGAGCCCAGCAGGCTGATGCTGGGGTGAGCTGAGCATGCCACTGCACTCCAACCTGGGCGATGGAGTGAGACTCCAACTCAAAAAAAAAAGTGTGTTATTATTTTATAATTTTTTATATGGTATATGATCGTATAATATAAAGCATGTTTATTGTAGAGAATTTGAAAAATTCAGAAACACAGAAAAATGAAAGAAGAAAAAATATCAATTGTAATCTACTCAAAGAAAAACCACAGTCCATTGAAATTTCCTTTATCTTTTCCTTAAATCCAAATATATATTTACTGAGATTGTACTGTATATAGCATTTCTTTGTATTTGTTTTTTGTTTCTTTGGCTGAATTTTTTTTGCATTGGGTATTTTTGTACCTGAAATTCACAGCTGAATCAGATCCCCCCATTAGTTCACAGTACAGCATCCTCATGTGTCCCCTCAAAACCTCTTCCCGGTTTTATTTATTTGTTTTTGAGTTGGAGTCTTACTCTTTTGCCCAGGCTGGAGTGCTGTGGCACACTCATGGCCACCGCAGCCTCGACCTGCTAGGCTCAGGCTATCCTTCCACCTCAGCCTTCCTAGTAACCAGAACTACAGGCATGTGCCACCATGCCCAGCTAAGTTTTTGATTTTTTTTTTTGAGTTGGAGTCTCACTCTGTCGCCCAGACTGGAGTGCAGTGGCTGCTCCCGGCCACCGCAGCCTTGACCTGCTGGGCTCCGGCGATCCTTCCGCCTCAGCCTTCCAAATAGCTGGAATTACAGGCATGCGCTACCATGCCTGGCTGATTTTTTTTAAATTTATTGTAGAGATGAGGTCTCACTGCCCAGGCGGGTCTCGAACCCACGGGCTCAGGCAATCCACTCACCTCAGCCTCCCAAAGGCGCGGGTACAGGCTGAGCCACCAAGCCCGGCTTAATTTTTTATTTTTATTGTAGAGACAAAGTCTCGCCAAGTTGCCTGGACTGGTCTTGAACCCATGGGTTCAGGCAGTCGTCTCGTCTCAGCCTCCCAAAGTGCTGATATTATGGGCGTGAGCCACTGCACCTGGCTAGAAAATGTATACACATTTCAAGAGATGTTTTCCATAATCAGAAGTGTCTGGATGCTGATAGTAATCACTTTGAGCACCTCTTGTCATTGTAGAAGCCAAATGTGATTGTATTCATCTTTTGCTATTGGTATATGTTGAGTATTACAATTTTTTGATTTTTTGAGTTGGAGTCTCACTCCGTCGCCCAGGCTGGAGTGCAGTGGCACAATCCCGGCCACCGCAGCCTCGACCTTCTGGGCTCAGGCAGTCCTGCTGCTTCAGCCTTCCAAGTAACTGGAAGTACAGACATGCATCTCCACACCTGGGTAGTTTTTTGTTTTTTGTTTTTTAATTGTAGAGACGAGATCTCACCAAGTTGTCCGGGCTAGTCTCAAATCCACAGGCTCAGGCAGTCTGCTCACCTCAGCCTCCCAAAGTGCTGGGATTAAAGGCTAAGCCACCACGCCTGGCTGAGTATTATAATTTTAATACCATTTTTTCTTTTCTTATACATTTTTTGGGCACCCTCTGTATATAATAGTTTTGTTCCAGGGGACTTTTAAAGCGTCTTCACCTGCCCAGTGGCTTAGGTGAAGATGTGAGGGAATTGACTGGATAACTTATTGATGTCTAGATTTAGACTGTTGTAATACTAGTCACTCGCTTTAAATGTGTAGTTTGAATCTTTCTCTTCCTTTAATCACCATGTTTGGCAAATACGGTGTTGGCGACACATTCTAACAACACCTGGTAATATCTGTTTGGGCTCTTTCTTCTCACATGCTCAAAGCCCTGCTGGATAATATCTTACCTGCTTCTGAGGCAGCCTGTAAGGTAGGATGTGGGAGAGCAACGTCTCACTGCATCACAGATAAAGAAGTGAAGACCCACCGAACCTGGTGATAATGCAGTCACTGGGGCCCTGTCTCTCTCCTTCCAACTGATAGCCTGTTCTCTGACTTGAAGGTTTCGCTGCTTCCCACCATGCAAGACAGGGAGAGGTTTTTCTGGCAGACTCTCAGGGAGCTCGTAACCTGTGTCTAGTGCCTATGCAGCATCTTGGGGGCGAGACCCTACATGTCAGCTCAGCCCTAACCACCAGCCCACGACTGGGTGTGTCTGGGAGAGAGACTGAGCAGTAACCTTGATGAGACACCTTTTGCTACATCAAATAAGATTCCTGAACCTGGACTTGTTAGGTGCTTTTGCCTTAAACCTGTTCATCCGTCAGTAACCCTTTATGTGCTGATCTCAGTGCCAGGTGCTGAGAATCGTAAGAAATGTGTCTTTGGGCCACTCCGCTTGTGATGGGTGTGGCATAGTCCCTGTCCTTGGGGCACTCTAGTCCAAAGGAGAACGTGATCCCTGCTCTTAGAGAGCTCTAGTCAGATGGAGGGAAGCAGGACACACACATAAAGATGACGTCCACATATCTGCCAAGAAATCAGTCAGTCGATACATGTTTAAAATATTACTGAGTATGTCCTAAAATAGTTGGGCGATTTGAGACTAGCTGAGTTCTTTAGGGTAGGAAGGGAGAATGACCTCGTGCGGTGGTTCACACCTGGAATCCCAGCCCTTTGGGGAGGCCAAGCTGGGAGGATTACTTGAGCCCAGGAATTTGAGACCACCTTAGGCAACACAGTGAGACCCCATCTCAACAAAAAAATGAAAGAATTAGCCTGGTGTAGCGGCACACACTTGTAGGCCCAACTACTCAGGAGGCTGAGGTAAGAGGATCACCTGAGTGCAGAAGGTCAAGGCTGTGGTGAGCTGTGATCATGCCATTGCATTCCAGCCTGAGCAGCAGAGTGAGACTCAACTTATTTAGAAGAAAAAAAAAAGAGAGAGAATGTTTTGTTGAATAACTCAGAATTCTTGGCTGCCAAAGACCAACTTTCCCCTTGAGTGATGTTAATCCTTTTGTGAGGGTGTTCTGGACGAGATGACAAACCTGTGTGGCAGGGAGAGGATCTTCTCTCGCAGAGTCACAAACATAGTAGCTTCGCCTTCACTTCCCTGCTCTGGTTGTAGGTGGATGCCTATGTAAATGAGGATGTCGAGAGCCTGAGGAACACTGTGCAAGACTTGCTTGCCAAGCTGCAGGAGGCTGAGCGGCAACACCAGTCAGACCGTGTGGCTTTTGAGGTGAGATTTGGGATTGGGGAGAAGGTGCCCTAAGGGATGGGCTACTAGATGCAGGTGCCAGTGACGTTCTTGGCTTGGGCTTCATGTCTCTCTGGCTGGGTGCCGCCAACCAGAAAGGCGAGGCTTTGAGGCCTGGGGTGCTTGTCTGCTTTTCCCTCCCCTGGACATTTATGCTGCTTGCTGTCCAAGGCTGGCCCATAGTTCAAAGGTCAGCTCTTGCTTGTCTGAGCTAATGAAGCTGAGTGGTAGGACTGGTCTGGGAGAGCAGGTAATTCAGAGGTCATTTCAGTGTGTACCTTTGTGGGCTGTGAGAAATCATGCTGGCAAGGACTGTTGCTGTCATGGTCACTACCAAGTTCCCAGTGTCTGGCATAACACCTGCCATTAGGTGGGTGCTTCATGAGTGTGAACTGGATTAATGGGTAAATCTGTGTTGTCATGGAAAGAACCACACCTAGGAGTCCAAGGACTTTAGCTCTGGTCTCGGCTTTCCTATGCAGACCTTTATGATCTGGAAGGCATATCTTAATTATCGCATAAAAGTGATAGTGGATTCTTGGCCAGGCGCAGTGGCTCATGCCTGTAATCCCAGCACTTTGGGAGATTGAGATAGGAGGATTGCTTGATACCAGGATTCAAAACCAGCCTGGTCAACGTAGTGAGACCTCTCTCTAAAAAAATAAATGAAATAAAGAGGAAGGGCCTGAAGTGGTCGCTCAGGCCTGTAATTCCAGCACTTTGGGAGGCTGAGGTGAGAGGATTGCTTGAGCGGGTTTGAGACCAGCCTGGGCAACATGGTGAGACCTCATCTCAACAATAAAAAAAAATAAAACACATTAGCTGGGCGTGGTATTGCATGCCTGTCGTTCTGGCTACTTGGAAAACTGAGGCAGAAAGATCGCCTGAGTCCGTGCTACTGCACTCCAGCCTGGGTGACTGAGTGAGACTTCGACTCAAAAAGTAATACTACACTATTATAGTCTATTAAAAAATATAGTCATCTACAAATGGAGATTTTAAAAACCCCTACGATTAAAAATATGTGAGGTCTTCCACACTTTCTAGAAAATTCTTTTTTTTTTTTTTTTTTTGAGTTAGAGTCTCATTCTGCCCAGACTGGAGTGCAGTGGCACGCTCCTGGCCACCGCAGCCTCGACCCGCTGGGCTCTGGCGATCTTTCCGCCTCAGCCTTCCAAGTAGCTTAACTACAGGCGCACGCTACCACACCTGGCTAATTTTTTGATTTTATTGTAGAGATGAGGTCTCGCCAAGTTGCCCAGACGGGTCTCGAACCCGCGGGCTCCCAAAGAGCGGGATTATAGTCTGAGCCACCGAGCCCGGCTTAGAAAATTCTTTGAGTATAAAATGAGATACACGAGGCAGTTTCTAACACTCTGTGTGAGGTTAACCAGCTGTTATCTGCTTTTGTTCTTCCATAAGTAAAGTAGTCAAGTAGTCTCTATGTCATAAATATATTATGATAGGATTCTATGTGGTCTAAGCATGTTGGGAGCTGGTGGAAAGAGGAAGGTCAGCCTGAGCTCTGCATTGAACTGAGAAGGAGAATTTTTTTTTTTTTTTTTTTTTTTTTGAGGTCAGAGTCTCACTTTGTTGCCCAGGCTGGAGCGCAGTGGCACACTCACAGCTACCGCAACCTCAACCTGCTGGGCTTAGGCGATCCTTCCGCCTTAGTCTTCCAAGTAGCTGGAACTACAGACACACGCCACCATGTCATGCTAATTTTTTGTGATTTATTGTAGAGACGAGGTCTCAGCACGTTGTCCAGACGGGTCTTGAACCCCCAGACCCAGGCAATCCTCTCTCCTCGGCCTCCAAAAGTGCTGGGATTACAGACTGAGCCACCACACCCAACCAGAAGGAGAATTTTTGAGGGAAGAAATTGAGGGTGAAGAAAAAAGGGCACCGAGGATGATAAATTGCTTCTAGTTTACCTGAAGTCTTATTTGAGCAAGTAATTTAATATCCCTAATAAGCATTCCTTTCAACTTTTGTAAAAGGGGGTCATGAGATACACCTCACAAGTCTGTTGTGTGGATGCAGTAAGGTGATATATGTGAGAGGACTTCATTATTCTAAAGGGCTTTAGAAATACAGGATAGCCTGTATCTTTCTCAGTGATCAGTTTATGGTTAAACAGATTTTTCTATTGTAAATAGTTTGAATTTAGATGAATACTAAAATTAGTTTGTGATCTCAGAACAAAGTAGCTGTGTGGTACAGGAGTATGTGGCATCGATTTCAGATTCCACAATTTGGGTGGTTTGGTTGGTGATGTATCAATTTGGTGCCTGGCTATTTTCTACCTTTTCAGAACAAAACAAGAGGAAGGGGCACTTGACACTGTGGCACCGATGAGGTTAAGTTTGGAAAGAAATATGCATTAAGAGGCATTATGAGGTTGTGGAGATGACAGAAATACTTGTCAGTTTTGGTCACACATAGAGGGGTCTGCCGCTCTCCGTTTCAGAGCTTGAGCAAAAGTGCCCTTAGTGTCAACCTGAGGCCAGAAGGCCCTTGTCAGCTGCAGCCACCCACAGTAGAAGGGGCTGGTCTCTTACCCTGTGGTACACAGCACCCCCTGCAGAAGGAGGTGCTCTTTGTGCTGTTCCCACGGATGGGGCAGATTGCCACACCCTTTTATAATTAAGAAGTTCCTTTGGGTACAAGGTTGGCTGGAGCTGCAGGGACAGATGTGGAATGAGAGTCCATATATATATTTTTTAACATTTGTGGTCCTGTGACAGGGTGCCAGGATTGGACCATGACTTTTTTTTTTAAATAAAGATGTGGGGTACAATTCAGGGTTAGGCATATAAACACTGATTATGCAGGTAGCCTTGTTGATGAGGTTTTCCCCTCCCTCCTCTATCAGTTTACCTCAACTGCCAATCCCCCCCC